AATGTCCATTGATGATCTTTTAATGAAGCTGAGCATTTTGCTTGCTTTGGCACATACCATAGACACGTGCTGGTTCCATTTCAAATCGGATGTGATGATCACTCCAAGATCTTTCTGGGCATTGGTTCTCTTGATGGGAGTGTCGTACTTAAGGTGGTAGCTTGACGGCACTAGCTTCAGATTTCTGGTCACCGAAAGACATTCACATTTCGATTGATTCAGATCCATCCGCCACGATTCACACCAATTGTTAATACCATCAAGGTCTTTTTGAAGATATTGTTCATCCTTATGTGATCTAACTGGACGATAGCATTTAGTATCATCAGCATACAAAGCAATAGACGATGTAGACGTTTCCTGCAGAAGATCGTTCACATAAATAACAAACAGTAAAGGACCAAGTATTGAACCTTGCGGCACACCAGATGACTGGGAGAGAATTTGAAGTTTTGCCAAGGACAGTTACTCTTTGGTGACGATTGGTTAAGTACTCTTCAAACCATTTCAACAAAGTCCCACCAATCCTGAATTTCTTTAACTTTCTTACAAGTAAACGATGATCAACTCTATCAAAAACTTATTTCACTTCCGTGCTACAAGTGTTTTAAACGAGCAATGAAGGTTTCGGAAGTGTTCTAAATGGTTAGCCTTAGATGTTCTTTTTGCTTTTCTTCGTGCCATTTCTTTCTTTTTAAAAAGGTGACAGGTTTTGCTGTCGAGCCAAGGAGGAGTGTTACGTCTTTTCACCACTTTGGTTGGAATATGTTGCACGGTTGCATCCATCAGCTTGTCTCTCCAGTGTCGCCAGACCATATTGATATCTACAACAGCACTTGGATCACAGTCTGCATTCTCTGGTGAAATATTCATAGACGAGACCGATATTAAGGTCATTGCGGAGGTTCTCCAAGTCTGCTTGATGGTAATCAAACACTGATCGAGATGTTCGACGAGATAATTTGGGATGAACTTGAAAGTTAAAAAGTAGCAAGTTATGGTCACTAAACATATCGACAGATGTTGGTGATATGCAGGACAAGTCAATAACACATTCCGGGCTGTTCATTAAAATTAGATCAAGGATATTGTTTAATCTCATCTGGAAAACGTTAACTTGTTGAAGGAAGAAATTGTAGATCAGTTCACAAAATTCTATCGCAAAAGGAGGAGTTATATCTTGAATGTCGTCCGAGTTCCATGTCAAGTCAGGGAAATTAAAGTCACCAGTTATAAGAACTTTGTCATATTGTTCACAACATGTCAGAAAGGTGGTAAAAGATTTTAACCATTCTTTGATATTGTCGGGATTCGCTTCACCCGGCAAATAACTCATGTTTGTTCAGTTTATAGTTTACTTTATTGCTGATATTCTGTTCTCGTTTTTCACCTACCAAATACATGTCAACAACAATTTACTACCAAATATCAACCAAATTATTACTACATATGCCAAACTCGCGACACTCTCCCCCTATTTTATACTGTATGTATTAAATATGATCCTGTCCGTAATGTAAACCTTATTAACTAGAAGTTTATGAATAAATTTACTGTATCGTTCAAATGGTTAGTTCCTCTTGATTTGCAATCTCTTTTATCATATTCCTAGCGACTACGGCTGCCTTTCTAGGATTAAATTCTATTGGTCTGGGATTAAGTTCAGTAACTTCCTCCGTCTTATGTGGTATATCGCATGATAACTCCATTGGACATAGTTGCTGCACCGCTCTCTCAATAAATGACTTCCCAGCTCTTAACCTCACCGCACGTACAACACCGTCTCTTCCTTTAATCAGCTTCACTATCACCCCGATGTTCCATTTTCCTCGATTCCGTTCATCCGATGTTATTAATACCACGTCTCCAGGTTTGATAGAGAGTTGTTTGGTCTTATGGTTAAGGTTATGTCTCTCTCTCAAGCCTTTCACATACTCTCCAGACCATCTGGACCACAATACATCCTTGCAATGCCGTAGATATCTTGCTCTTTTCCTCAGATTACTGTCTTCGATCGATTCGATATCTTCCTCTGGCAATACATTGGACTGTTCGAACATCATTGAATTTGGAGTTAAAACGGGTAACTGAATGTCATCCTCGACGTATGACAATGGGCGATTATTCAGTGCGATTTCGACATCGAGTATCACTTCTTCGAATTCGTTCCATGTTAATTTAGCACGTCCGCTCGACTTATACAATGCTTATTTCACCAGCCCAACTAGTCTCTCGAATTGTCCTCCCCACCAGGGAGCTCTGCTTAAATTAAATTGCCATTTTATGTACTGGTGGGCAAGATAATTTTGAAGCTTCTCATCTTTCATGATCGCTCTGAGCCACTTCGCTGCAGCTACAAAACTTTTGGTGTTGTCGGAATAGATCTTACTAAGTCTACCACGTCTAGCAACAAACCGCTTTAAACTTCTGATGAATCCCTCAGTTGTTTGATCTTTTAAGAGCTCGAGATGGATGGCTCGGGTAAGACTGCATGCGAACAACAGGATATGAGCTTTGCCGTTTTTTGGTCGAACTAATCTTGTAATCCATTGGTCCTGCATAGTCGACACCGGTCTGTTGGAAGACTTCCAGGTGGTGGACTGTGGAACGCAGTGGCACGGAATTTCTTGCACCCGAAGCAATTGTTGATAACTTTCTTTGTTAACTGCCTCAATCGTGGGATCCAATAGTCACGTCTAACCAAAGTCATTGTGAGGCCAACTCCACCGTGCAGAGTCACGATGTGGGCGTCTTCAACGATCTTCTTAGATAATCTCCTATTATGACTGGGGGTATTTCTTCTCCGTTAATTTCTTTTGTGAGGTCTGTGGTGAACAGTTTGCCTTCGTTTCCTTGCTTGTAAATTGCAGAATTGGAAAGAACCCGTGCGTCATGAACGCTTCCAGGCCAACCAACCACAACATCGCGAAACAAGTAGTTACAATCAACACAAGCTTGCATCACTATACTATGGAAGCCTTTCCTATTGACGTATTCTACATGGCTCTCAGTAGGTGCGATTATTGGGATGTGAGTGCCGTCAATCGCCCCCGCACACATCGGAAACCCCCACTTTTGTTCGTACCCATCAATAATTTGCTGTAAATCTTGTCTGCGTGGAAATGTAATGACCTTTGACAGTCGTTTGGTAATGGCACAGCATGCTTCCCTAATGCAAACACACACAAACGATCGGGAAACTCCGAATAAGTTTGCTATTGTTTTATATTCCGCTGTGGATGCAAGGTAATATAACATAAGCGCAAGTCGTCTCTTCGCCGTTATTGCTAAACGCATGACAGTATTTTTGTGCAGTAAATCATGTCTTACTTTGTTTAAAAGAAAATTGAATGTTTCTCTTGTTACGCGGAAATTAACGTACCAAAGTTCATCATAAAAATCTCTATCAACCATATCAAACCAAGTGAGTGATCTTGGATGCATCGATATTTCCCTTGTTCGAGGACTGTTAATGGCCATTAAAATCACATTCATAAAAGGTAGTGCATATTTGTTCCTCGCATCAGTACATGATTTGCTATTTAGCAATTTTGTTCTGTGTTTTTTATTTAAATTCTTACGCTTCCGGAGATACATCAACCAAGCCAAAATCCTTTTTATTTTGTTTACTCTATTGAAAGCCGCCATATTTGGAAAAAAACGCCAAACATTTAGCGCATGCTGTTTGATGTCGCGTACCGCAACAAAAAAACGTATTGCTGGCACGCTTTTAGTAGTGCCCATATAACATGGCCTGGCTAACAGAAGCACTCTAAACAAAATTTGTGGCCCACCAACTTGACAAAAACAACTTGTGTAAACACAAATGCCGTACCCAAAAAAATGAGTACGCGTGCCCAAATTTAAGAGTGCCAGGCCAAAAATTATTACCGTGTAAACAGGCCTTAAGTAACACTAGTTGATAATACCACTCAAATACATATTTTTCATCACAAAACATTAATTTTTAAAAACTAAGTGTGTGTCGGATAGCATTACATGCTCAACAACACAACAGACAGCACTGTTCAGTTACCATGGTAACCATGTGACATCATTTTTATATACATTTTAATTGCAACATTTTGCATATCTTTGCTGAAAATTGTATACTTAAAATTGATATGTTGATACCCTACCAATCCTAAACACTTGTCAGCCGTCACATAGACTGTTTCCATGACAATGCTACAAATCCGGTGATGTCCCAATTACATCACTGATGACATCATACTCCTATTGATAACTTACTCATGTTGAGGACGAAAAGGAAATCAATTATTTTTGAAGAATCATATTATTTACTGCAACACTAGCTTATCAATCAAAGATACAGTTTCAACAAAAACTCCTGAGCTATATATCGAGCTGGACTGCTTGCTCATTTATTGGTAACAGGAGTTGTTCTAGTTCATTGTCCAAGTTATTCCACAGTCTAACACAGGCTGATTTGTTCAATGGTTACTTTCAGTCTGTATTTAATATACCCGATGATAATGCAAACCCCTCGGTTTCGCCTACATGCATAAACACAGAAAACTTGTTATCAAACATACATCTTACTGCATCGGAAGTAGAAAACGCACTAATTACCATTGATCCAAGCAAAGCCTCAGGCCCAGACAAGATCCCGGACAGAGATCTCAAGGAAATTGCTCCACAAATCGCTTGCTCTCTTTGCTGCCTATTCAACCTATCTCTATCATTAGGTATGTTCCCAGATAGATGGAAGTTAGCAGACGTCACCCCAGTTTTTTAAAATGAAGATCCATCACTAGTTAACAATTACAGACCTATTTCTCTATTAAGTCTCCTCTCAAAAACTTTGGAAAGGTGTGTTCACAATCACTGTCTTGCCCACATATCTCCCCAATTGTATCATATGCAACATGGCTTCTTGAAAGGAAGATCTACTGTTACTCAACTTCTTGCGGTTTATCAAGATACCAGTGAAGACCTGGCTGAAGGTAAAGAAACGGACATAATCTATTTGGACTTTAGCAAAGCTTTTGATAAAGTGCTGCACTCTTCTCTTATCAGAAAATTACCTCTTCGGCATAACAGGCGACTTATTATTTTGGTTTAAAAGTTACCTCTCAGGAAGACACCAACGATTTACCCTGCAAGGACTATATTCCGAAAGTCTTGAAGTTTATTCCTGTGTCCCACAAGGTTCTATTCTAGGGCCACTCTTGTTCCTGGTTTATATAGATGACCTGCCAGGGTACATTAAAAATAATCCAAGAATGCCCTATCTGCTGACGACTCCAAACTGTACAAGACCATCTCAAAATGATCAGATTCTGAAGCTCTTCAAGAAGACCTTTCCTGTCTTTCTGACTGGTGTAAATATTGGAATATGGACTTCAATACATCCAAATGTAAGGCTCTAAACAACTCCAAAAAGAAATCCCCTTCTGTATGGAATTACCAGCTTAATAACGAATCACTGGTACTGTTAAAGAGATCACTGACTTGGGAATTTCCAGCAATGACAAGCTGCTCTGGTCCTCACATATTGCTCAGATATCCAAACGAGCCAATCACACTTTGGGTCTCATGAAAAGATTGTGTAGGGATTTTCTGGATTCCAAAACCCGCAAACTCCTATATTGCAAAATTGTACGCCCCATAATGGAATATGCAAGTGAACTCTGGTCACCATACACCATCAAACACCAGATGATATTGGAGAACGTGCAACGCAGTGCTACGAAATTTATATTAAATTATCCTGATGATCTCAATTACAAACAGCGCCTCCTTAAGTTATCCTTGTTACCTTTGGAGTATAGAAGAGATTCGAAAGACACGATTCTTTTATTCAAACACAGACTAGGCTTAATAGTTCTAGATCATCCCTCCCTACAACAGTGCTCTGCCCAATATCGTGCAATTACCTGTAACTTTTCCTCTTTGAATTACAAGACACAGCGAGCAACTCAAAATTACCTAAAATACTCCTATTTCCACCATGTCGTTTCCACCTGGAACTCACTACCACTAGATGTCAAACGTTCAACAAACTTGGTAACTTTTAAAAAAGCTATCTCAGACTATTATACGATGAAACTTGATTCTTATCTTCTTCCAGACGAAAGACGTACTAAGGTGGCTCGATAGGAAAAAAATGAGAAAAATTGAATTTTTTGAAAACAATATTTTTTGAAAGTTTAAGCACTAATCTTTCATATACAATTGGTTTTTTAAATAATATCAGGGTATTTTCAGTTGTTTGGGGGGTTTTATAAAATGCACCATCATATTTTGCACTCGTAACCATGGAAACCGCATCTGTTTTTTTCAAAATAACCCTATGAAACGGCTTTGTATACTGGTTATTGTTGTTGTTTTGTAAAAAGTGTGCATCTTTACAAAGAGGACTGGTAAGTAGATACAATTACATTGCCTGGTTACCAAGTCAAAATTCGAATTGAAAGAGAAAGCTAGAAAACAAATTTGTTAGAGTTGTATTTTTCGTTAGAGTTGTATTTTTCGTTAGAAATGCCTGATAAAAAGAAATTTATTCGATTGAAAGGGAAAAAACGAAAGTTTCACGGCAACCGTCATGTCAAAGTCGAAATATTACCTGATTCTGAAGCTTCTAAACAGGAGAATATTGCTGAAACAAGTACGTCAAATTTGACTGCTGCTTCAGATGAAGTTACATCATCGAGCGCTTCAGAATTTAGGTCATTGCCTGCCTCAAAAAGGAAACTTGACTGTGATTCATCAAGTGAGGATGAAGAAGAATGTACTGATGGATTTCGACTAATAGATATATCGATTTTGATGTCTATTTTCAACACCTTTTTGTGCCCTAAAT